GCGCCCTCTTGACGCTGCTCTAAGGCTACTGATGTCCACTCCCTCCTCTGCTCTACTAAACTCCCTCAACTGCATAACCTCACCCTCTACTATAAGCTCGTCTCTCTACTATAATCCCTCACTTACTATAATCCCTCCTACCATACCGATACACTCTCTAACTACCACTCCGCTAACTCTTCTATCTACCTATAACTCCTCGCTCTAACGGCTAACAACGAACTGCGCCATAGACCTCTATCGCCGGTTGAGTAGACTGTTTACACTTCCGGCCGAGATATGTTGCAACTTACACTAAGGCAAACCTCTCTCTACGTATAAACTCTCTCTACCTATACCACTCTGCGCGCTCTAGACTTAGTACAGTCCCCTGCATATTCCTATCTTCAAATATAAACATCTAGTACGCCCTTCTAAATACGCCCACTTATAACTCTGCCAAATTCTTTTTACACTAATACGTAATACTCCCCTCTAACTATACTAAGAGCGCGCATTACTCGGTAACACATACACACTGAGACATATACAACCTCTAATAGAATTCTTCCAAGTAAAACTTAAACGTCCACGTAATCTCATTAAGACTCTCTGCCGAGCAAAATAACGTGTCGCTAATTCCATCATATATCTGCTCAAGAGAGTCCTGGCTAGCGCAATCATCAAACTATGCAAGTGAGCAACTTCAGCTACTGGCTAAAATAAAACTATAAAACATTCCCGCTCGTAATCTATGACAGACTCTAGCCCTAGGCCTCTAAACACTGACAAATGACAATGCGCCCCTCTACTATAGACTAGGAAACAATGCATAAGCTGCCACTAAAATACATAATCACAAAACTCTCACAATTCTACTGACTAATTATGTCCTCTCTAACGACGTTATAGAACCTCCCACCCTCTACTCCTATAACCCTCTATACTATGAAAACTTCCCTTCTATAAACCTATAAACGGTCGCCTCTTCCTTAACTAAGGCAACTGCACCCATCTATCTACAAAAGCATAACTCCCATGCTAACTAAATACAAACTGCCCACATCGCCTACGCTAAATAAAACTCTCTCTAACTTATTAACTACTCTGTGTGTCTACCTCATAACTTAGGAAATCAATGCAGGCTCTCCTCTACTATAACTCCTCTACTCATATCAGCTAGGAAACACTCTACATCTATCTGTATAAGCTGCCCCTCTACCTTAGATATATTAAGACTCCCAGAAACCCTTCTACCTATAAATTCCTCTCTACTATCTCTCTCCTACTTATAATCCTCTACTAATAACTCTCGTCTACTATCAACTAATCCGCTCTAATATAACTCTCTCTACTATTAAACTGCCGCTCTACTATAACTCTCTCTACTATAACTCTCTCTACTTATAACTTCTCTCTAGATATAACTCCCTCTACTATAACTCTCTCTACTATAACTCTCTCTACTATAACTCCCTCTCTACTTAACTCTCTCTACCTATAAAGCTCCATCTATATAATCCTTCTCTACTATAAACTCCCTTCTAACTTATACTCCCTCTCTACTATAACTCTCTCTACTATAACTCTCTCTACTATAACTCTCTCTACTATAACTCTCTCTACTATAACTCTCTCTACTATAACTCCCTCTACTATAACTCTCTCTAGCCCGTAGAGACTCCCCTCTACTTATTAGCTACTGCCGTGTCGGTGTCAATATGTATAACCTCCAATTGCAGACATACCCTCGCTTAGACCTAAACTCAACCAACTCTTGAGCTATATAAAATATCATGCTCTCTAACTATAAGCTGCTTCAATCTAAAAGATTGCACTACATAAACTTCCCCCTCTATCTATGAACTCTCTCTAACAGACTGATAAACTCTCTCTCTACTCTAATACATACTCCGCTTGCTGAGCGTGTATTAATACGTCAGGCCCGAACTCACTGCTAACTACTATAGTAGAATTCTCTCTACTATAAACTCTCACTCTACTAGATAACCTACGGTCTCAAACATAATACACTACTACTGCGCACTATAATAACGTGCTCAATCTCTATCTAGTAATCCCTACTAGCTATAGAGGATCCTTCTCTTACTATAAACTCCTCTCTACTTATAACTTCTCTCATATAACTTAGCCCGTCTACTAATAGCAAACTCTCTCTACTCATTAACTCGCCCTACTACTAATAACTCTCATTCTAAATATAACTCTCTCTACTATAGAGCTCTCTCTAGCTAATAACTCACGCTCTACTGATAACTCTCTCTACTATAAATATTTCTATAACTCTCTCTACAGCTATACTCCCTCTCACCTACTATAACTCCGTATACTATAACTCTTAGCCGTGCATACTGAAGAGATAACCTTACCGTCTACTTACACTCCCTCTACTAAACTCTCTCTATATAACTCCCTCTACTCACTATAACTCCCTCTACTAAATTAGCTACTACCTCTCTCTACTATAACTCTCTCTACTACTAGTCTAATCTCTCTACTATAACTCTCTCTACTATAACTCTCTCTACTATAACTTCTCTCTACTATAAGACTCTCTCTACTATAAACTCTCTCTACTATAACTCCCTGCTCTACTATAACTCCGGATCCTACGTATAAATCTCCCCTCTACTATAACTCCCTCTACTATACTCTCTCTACTATAACTCCCTCTACTATAACTCCCTCTACTAGCAGATAACCTCCCTCTCTACTAGATAACTCTCTCTCCGGGTCTAACTTTACTCCCTCTAACTAATAACTCTCTCTACTAATACTCTCCTCTACTATAAACTCCCTCTAACCTTAACTCTTCTACTATATAACTCCCCTTCTACTATAAACTCTCTCTACTATAACTCTCTCTACTATAACTCTCTCTACTATAACTCCCTCTACTATAACTCCCTCTACTATAACTCTCTCTACTATAACTCGCCTCCGTTACTAATAACTCCTCTCTACCTAACTAATAAATCCGGCTACTATAACTCCTCTCTACTATAACTCTCTCTACTTATAACTCTCTCTCTAAACTATAACTCCTCTACTATACTCCACCTTCCTCTACTATAACTCTCGCTCTACTGAAATTAACTTCTCTCTACTATACACTCCCCTCCTACTTACTCCCTCCTACCTATAACTCCCTCTAATATAGAGACAACTTCTCTCAATACAATACATCTTTGCCTCTTACTATAACTTCTGCCTCATACTATAACTCTCTCTACTATAACTCCCTCTCTACTATAACTCTCTCTACTATAACTCCTCTACTATAACTCCCTCTACTATAACTCCCTCTACTATAACTCTCTCTACTATAACTCTCTCTACTATAACTCGCTTCTAACTCACTAAACTGCCCTCTACTATAACTCTCTCTACTATAACTCCCTCTACTATAACTCCCTCTACTATAACTCCCTCTCTACTATAACTCACACGGTCTACATACATCAGCTCTACTATAACTCCCTCTACTATAACTCTCTCTACTATAACTCCCTCTACTATAACTCTCTCTACTATAACTCCCTCTACTATAACTCCCTCTCTACTAGCACCAAACTCTATAGCAGCAAGTTAATACATGTGTCGTTAATAAATTGCCTAGATGGGAGTCCAACGAAGCTCTAACGCAGATTAGCATGGGAAGACGAATCGTGCGTCTTGACCACACATTCGATTTCGCCGCGATGCTACGCGCTCCCATCTCGCAGCTGATTTGAAGTTCTGTCACACGTCTAGATTTCCCCTGCATTGTCGCACGCGCACGCACCAACGCGCGCCTTCCTTACGTGCCTGCATTACGCCTGCCTGCATTAAGTCGACGCAGAAGCCGCGCTCGGCATACGAATATCGACGTGCCTGCTGCGTAGTGCTCACCGGGGGCTTTTATAGCGACGTCCTAACTCCGACGTCTAGCCGCTGAAGGACACGCTTTTATCTGGGGTGCGATTATGGTGTAACACGCTGACGATCCCGTGCATGTAGTTTTCTGTACAACTGCATCGCCTTCAAAGGCAGCATAGCGCGCTAATAAAGTGCAGTTATTACGCCCCGGCAGCGAGACGGATATAGTCTCTATGCTTCCCAGCCACCATATTCATCAGAGAATTATATTAGCTCGGTTTGCGAAAAGTGACGATTATAGTCTTTCTGCGGAGTGCCCCCTCTTCCTTTGATGAAAGCTTGCATGAGACAGTCACAGGGTGCTCGGATGCGCCGCGCGTCTATTATACAGCCTGCTAGCATCTATGATAAATACGACATACGCATATACGCTCACTCCTATGACACTATTTGTCATAGGAAGATTCTTCCTATGCAACAAATATGTTGTATTGTTGCTGGCGCATAATGGGAGTTGTAGGAGCGCTATTATGAACGTCAAGCCCAGTAAATTTGAGCTGTAAAGGCGAAGAATCTTCCCTATGACAAATAGGTCCATAGGAGAGGTATATGCGTATCAGTCCCGTCATTTGTCATAGACTCATAGCAGAACATGTTGCATTTTATCACCGTAGAGATAAATACCAAAGGTTAGCCAATCCACCCAAGGTCCAGAGGTTAAGAAGCTAACGAGTAGCCCAATGCCACCAAAGCCCAGAGGTTAGCAGAACTACGAGGTAGCCAATTCACAAGGTCCACGACCGTTAGCAAGAATACGGCGAGGTATCCATGTCACCAAGGTCATAGAGGTTAGAGAAATACCCGAGGCTAGCCAAGTCACCAAGCGTCAATAGAGGTTAGAGAGAATACGGTAAGCACATTGCACCACGGTCACAGAGTTAGAGAAATACCGAGCGTAGCCAAGTCACCAAAAGTCACAGAGTGTTCAGAGAAGATACCGAGGTAGCCAATTCAGCCAAGGTTTCATAGAGGTTAGAGAAATACGAGCGCGGGTAAGCACAAGTCACCAAGGGTCACAGAGGTTAGAGAAATTACGACAGGTAAGCCAAGGTCAACCAAAGGTCACGCAGAGATTTAGAGAAATACGAGGTACCAATGTCACCAAGGTCACAGAGGTTAGGGAAATTAGCCGAGGTAGCCAATGGTCGACAAAGGTCAGAGAGGTTAGAGAAATACACCAACGTAACCGATGTCACCAAGGTCACAGTAGTAACGGAGATTGCAGAGGCAATTGAGGTCCCACTGTGCACAGCAGTTATTTTCAATAACTCGCGCGCTCACTATATAATGTTAAAATTAATGTATATCAGTTTAATTTATGCTGTGTTATTGTGTATGTTATGTTAATGTCTAATCGTAGTAATGTTATTGCTTATCTTTATGTTAATATATAATCGTAATGTTAATGTTTAGTGTTAATGTTATGCTGTAATGTTTATGTTAATATTAATGTTAATGATAAGTATTGAATGCTTGATGTTCTATGTAAATTTATGTATGTTAATGCTTTATGGCTTCATTGTTTATGTTTAATATTAATGCTTATGTTAATGTTAATTTATGTTAATGTTACTGCTTATGTTTATGATTATGTAATTTATATGTTAATGTCTATTCTTATGTTTATGTAATACTTAAGTGTATGTTAATGTTAAGTGTTAATGTTTTAATGCTGTACGTTTATGTTAATGTTATGTTAGGTTAATGTTATGCCTTCATGTTTCAGTGTTAAATGGTAATGTTATGTTAATGTTATGCTTATGTTTATGTTTATGTTAATGTTAATCGTTAATTTGTTATGCTTATTTTATGTGTAATATTAAATGCTTAATCTAAATGTTAATGTTAATGGTTACGCTTTATGTTAATGTTATGTGTAGTTAAATGTTAATGTTATGTTTATGTTAAATGTTATAATGTGGATAATGTTGCTTGCAGTTGCCGGTGAGAGCGTTGGCAGTGTGTCGGCTGTCTACACGGTGGTACTGCCCGCCTGTGCAGTAACACTGATCGTCATCATTGTCCTGCTTACTATCGGCGTATACCGGAAACTCCGCATCCTGGGAAGGAACGTTAAGGTTCGTCAGTCGAGTTATCGGAGATTGGCAGGAAGGCAGCGGGGTCGTGTGTCTGATCGAATAAATGCTAATGCAGTAATTTCCGGTCGTTTATGTAGGTCTTGATCACGGAGTGTCGTGACGTCATCCGGTTGCTTGTGGCGTGGATATTTGTGTGCGAGTGTGTGTACGCGCGTGCGGCGTGCGTGAGTGTGTATTGGGGGGGATGAGTGTTTATTGTTATTGATTGATTGGTTTATTGATTGATTTGATTTATTTATTTATATATTTATTCATATGCATATATCAAGTATATGCACGCGAGACTAACCTTTGAGCTGATTGAATAGCGTTTGACCTAAATTGAAAGGAGTATATAAAAGTTGTTTGGGAAATTAACGCTATACATTTACCGATATTGCATATCACGTAACACCATGGCCCTAAGAGTGTATAAAATTTCCTTCCGCTGTTCGACACTGTACAGTTATGCACAGTTGTTGTATCGCTGTTCGATTCGCACGATCTATTCGTATATATCGCAGGTTCAGCTCACAGACAATGTTCTTTACCGGTGTCTGAACGGAACTGCAGCACCAAATGGAGTGCAGTCTAACGATTCGGTGAAATTCGACAAGTTCGAGATCAATTTTAGCTCGCTAGTTTTCGAGGAAGTGCTTGGTAAGGACGAATTACAACACACTGCATGTGTCCGTCCGTCTGCCTGTCTCTCTGCCTGTCTGTCTGTCTGTCTGTCTGTCTGTCTGTCTGTCTGTCTGTCTGTCTGCCTCTCTGTCTCTCTGCCTGTCTGTCTGTCTGTCTGTCTGTCTGCCTCTCTGTATTTCTGTCGATGTACGTACGCGCGCGCGTGTATGAACTGAACTACAAATCAGTCTATTTCTCAAACCGCGAAGAGTACACCGTAAAAACTCACATCGTAAATGAGTATAAAGATGACGTGGCTTTGCGTTGACTGCTGCGCTGAGCTGCTTACTATCAAGCCATGTTGTAGTTTCAGTGGAATTAGTAGTAAACTTTAAGCTGCCAACTCGAGTTCGATTTTTGCCAAGATATTAGAGTTTACCGCTTAATACCCCAGCGTAGGGACATCGTACGGACAAGCGGTTGGTTTTATATTATCAAGGTAGGACTGCTGAATAATACTACCTCAAGAATTGTCAAAATAAAATAGGTAAAGTTTACTAATTCTACTGAAACTTCAACATGGTTGTTGCACTTCACCGTAATTTGACTACGTCACGAATTTTCTATGGTGTACATTTGTAAAAAAAATTTGCCATTATTTTACATGGACACCAAGTAGTACTAACGGGACTAAATGTTCCTCAAATTCTTACCTGATTGTTTCTCAACTAGTTAAAAATCCAAAAAACCTGGACGATTTGATATTGTGTTCCTGACATTAATTGCTTGCTATGGGCTATGTATGAGTCGCGAGTGTATGTTTACATCGAACAATATAGTATAATAGGAAGTATAATGCAGCAATTTAACCATAAAAAGTGAAAAGAATTACTTGCATTTTGTGAAAAAGTGGAACATTTTTTTTAATACTTTTATTATTTACGGTGACGTTATCACTTTAATACGCTCTTGTTACTATAATTATAACGAAATTCTGTGGATGTGCGACAGCTCAGCAGGTATCGTCGTCAGGCCTTAAGTATGCACTAACATTGTGCACGACCTATTTCTTAGGTGAGGGCGCATTTGGGAAGGTGGTTAGGGCGCGAGTCGTGAAGCAGATCGAGGAGATGCGCCACCTGCCGGACTTCGTAGCTGTGAAGATGCTGAAAGGTATTTATACGTGTACACGTAGCCGCGCATCCATTAACTGCATAACAACATAACATAACATAACATAACATAACATAACATAACATAACATAACATAACATAACATAACATAACATAACATAACATAACATAACATAACATAACATAACATAACATAACATAACATAACATAACATAACATAACATAACATAACATAACATAACATAACATAACATAACATAACATAACATAACATAAGAACATAAACATACATAACATACAACATAAACATAACATGACACGACACGACACGACACGACACGACACGACACGACACGACACGACCGACACGACACGACACGACACGACACGACACGACGACAGACACGACCGACACGACACGACACGACACGACACGACACAATAACATAACAGCATTAACAAACGTAAGATTTCAGCGATTATGGTTGCTATTGAGCAGCTGATAGCGTATTGCTCACCGTGACCTCTGCGTGACCCCGGCGTGAACCCTGCGTGACCCCTGCGGGCAGGTCGTATGTGACGAACAGTTCTTTGTTTGTGCAGATGCTGCGGCAGTTCAGGACACGCAAAACCTGCTCGATGAGATTGAGATGATGAAATGCTTGGGAAAACACGCGAATGTCATTAGCATTCTCGCGTGCGTGACGACAGCGCCAACGATATGCCTGGTGGTGGAATATTGCGAGAATGGCGATCTTCACACATATTTACGACAGCAACGAGAAAATGTAATTACGAAATTTTACTTTAAACACTCGGAAGCGGCAGATAAAACCGGTCATGCCGCGAGGTCTCGACTCTGGCATGCAACTCACGTGGCATTTTAAACGATGTCCAGTCAGTTAAAACATCGAGCAAATGGCCTCTACTAGTAATGATGAAGTTCATACATTTACCTCTCCCCCAACGCACAAGTGTCATGCGCATACGTCCATTTTGTGTCATTACTTATTGGTATTCAGAGGTTCTGTTCGCTATATGGATTGA